TGGGGTCTGGGGCAGTAGAATAGCATTTGCCCCCCCCCCAAAAAAAATAACTGTAAATGCATAAAAATTCCTTTTCACTGGGGATACTCAGAGTAGTCAGGGCCCTGGTGCAGTTGATTCTTTTGTCCCACCCTTAATATGGCCCTGACTACTGGTGAAATCTCATTAACACTGTGTATGCTTGATCTATTAACAAATCTTTTTTTCACTATTCTGGCTAGGATTAGGTTTTTATTTTCTCTACTATTACTTACTTTGCAATTGGATTTTAAAACCTCATTCTAGAAGTTTCAGCTGTAGGTGTTTTGTTCAATTTCCCATTTTGTGGGTATCTGCAATTACAATGTTCCATGTTATTTTATACCACATCTGTTTGCTTTGCTGCACCGTTCTAGTTTGCTTATTTCTGTTTACTACCAACTTAATTTGGAAATACAGAAGCTGCTCATACACTAGCTTTTTGAATTGTTCTCATGTAGTTACTTCTGTTAACTGTACTAGTGTTGCTTGAGAAGCATAGGTCACATTTAAAATTAACCTCATTAAGTTACTGACTAAACCGTTATATTTTAATGTGTCTTGTATCATAAGTTAATTTCAGTGTGCATAAGCTTGTCTGGGTCTTTTACCTAGTATCTGCAACTTACATCTCAACACTAACAGATTTACTTCGTTGTTAATTCAGCATATTTTTGTTTCGTTACTGTGTCATATTCTATCTCCTGTTTTCTCTTTGTAGCTTGATATCTGAATTTAGTTTCAATTTATATGTCCAAATTAATGTTTTAGCTTCACACAACGTCCTTAATCTGAGTATAACTGATTTCTATAATTCTGACATGCATGATGCTGAATCTACAATATCTACGAAGATTTCAACATTTTCCTTTATTTTGGAGAAAACGGTACTGTGTTGCCTTGTGGGGACAAGTGGAGTTACTGTTGCCTCTAAATATGAATTTGCCATTACACTGGTTCTTGCTCTCACGCCTTCTTGTACTTCGGGCTTTATTTCTGTAGATATAGCTATATCCAACTTACTTATTATGAACTATAACGGGCTCTTATTTACAGGCAATTACCACATCACAAACAGTAATTTATTTAAATACCATGAATATTCAGTCAGTGGCTACAAGTAATAGCATACAGATCACAAACTTGAGGAAAGTGAGATTCTTTTAATAACAAAATATAATTACAGTCCTATATAATTCTTTACTCCAAAACCACCTTCCTATGGCACAACGGTATTTCTTTGGACTTGCACTGCTAGAAACTGGGTTTTGATATTCATGGTGGACAGAGCACAGACAGCCCATTGTGTAGCTTTAGGCTTAACTAAAATTAACAAACACTGTAAAACCTTTTAGTTAATTATTTACAAACTATAAACTCATCGTCTAATGACAAATCATTACAAGTTTTGAACTTCCCAAGAAAACAAAACAAAACTTACAATAAAAGAGAAGGAAAGTAGACTTAGTGACGAAAACATTGTTTGACAGTAGAAAAATACTTCAATTGTGCAACAAACTGGTATATATTTTCAGTTTTCCAAAACTTCCTTCCCACTTTAAACATATTCATGAACATTGATTGACTAGGAAAACATTTCAACCATGCAACAAAATGGTAATATTTTTAGTTTTCCAAAACTTCCTTCCCACTTTAAACATATTCATGAACACTGATTGACTAGGAAAACATTTCAACCATGCAACAAACTGGTATATATTTTTAGTATTCCAAAACTTCCTTCCCACTTTAAACATATTCATGAACACTGATTGACTAGGAAAACATTTCAACCATGCAACAAACTGGTATGTTTTTTAGTTTTCCAAACTTCCTTCCCACAGATGTATTTTCAGTTTCAAATCTTTGTGTACAAATTCATCACAGATGGGGTTTAACGTGGTTTCGAAACATTGTAAATAAGTACAGCATCAAGCTGTTATTATTTAATTTGCACCATTCTTAACCCCTTACTTGAATTGAAAGTGGTCTCCCAATTATGCTGGGTAGTCCATATAAATTTTGTTCAAAGTATTAAAATTTTAGTACCTTACAAAATGTACCTTACTTATTTTTCAATAAGTTACCCTTTGTGTTTTGTAAAACAAACGTTGCTGTACTTTTGTAGTTCAGTCTGTTTTTATACATGACACCTTTTTTTATTAACTAAGATGTTTCTATTTTATGATGTAAAAAGGTTTGGGCTAAAAATTACGATGAAATGTTTTACACTAACTTGCAGTCTTCTTATCTGTGGCAAGTCCCAGTCAAGCAAAGTCTACCAGTACATGTACTTTTCATGTCATATCCAACATTAGTCTATACATGCACTACTTTTTTGTTAAGTGTTTTTTCTATATCTTATCATTTGGTTAAGGAATTCCAGAGTTAAATGTTTAGGGTTGATTAGTTAAATGAATTACAGCATTGTTTCAATTTTAAAGGCATATATTTGTTGTTTTTATAAATGGTATACACAGTGTATATCTTAATGTGTCATAAGATAAAGGACATGTAACAATTCACAATTAATGATCAGAATGGGACCAAAAATGCCATTTCAAGTTGGAACACAATAACCTGAATTTCCCCAGTGGTCTATATCAGTATACACGTTGGACGACTGCATTGTTCTGACTTATAACATCCATTCATTTACACATCAATCTATTTTAATAATTTATAGGTAGTAATTTTCTGTTTTCTTATTCAATAAAAAAAATGTTTTATGTAAAGTTAACCTATTATTTTGTAGCAAAATTTCAAACTCACAGTGTATATCTTGGTATTGAAATACTCTAGTCTTGTCTTCAGTAACTGAAGAGCAGATTATGTTGTTTACACTTCTAACAGTTTACTGCACCCTATGAATTCTGATGATTTTTGTATTAGAGTTACGCTTTTGAATTACTAGTTTCTTTGGAAAATCATCAGTTTTTCATTAATTAAAAGTAATGGTTTTTACGAATGGTAATATGTGTACAATATTATATTGTTCATAGTATTTTAATCTTAAATATCAATTTGTAGCAAAATTTTGTTCCCTACCTCCTGTTAACTCGATGAAGAAACAAGTCATTTTTTGAAAATTGGGTAGAATATAAATTGGTTTTTGTATGGAAAATATTTTATATGGCTTTGGATATGTATATAATCTATACAGGAAAATAATATTCTTGATGTAGGCTTCAAACAACACACATTTTACATTTTCTACATAAAGAAAAAAACAACAGGCAATCTAAAGAAAAATATATAGAATACCATATCTTTTCAATAAAGATGTATTGCATTGGCCCAATTATAGCATGATCTCAAATATAAGGCAACCACCATTTTCAAAAACTAGGGAAAAGAAAAAATTGAGTATTGTAATGTCCTTCTTTTAGGTCCACAAAATCAATACTATAACTGAACAGCCTACAAGTGGATTAGTTGTAAGAATTAGCAACGACCTTGAGCGAACATCTGACGAGTATGCATAGATGGAGGCTATCTGGACATTCAGGAACGCTACAGGCTACGGTAGGGGGGCTTGTGGTCGGCTGCTATTATAAGGCGACTATGAATTTTATAGCTTAATTATTAATCAAAAAACACATCGCCTCATAATTCATTTCTAAAATTTAAACCTTTTCTACTTATAAAAATTTTCAATTAAAACAAATCTTTCAGTTTTCTGCATTTTAAGAATCAATTCCATACATAAGTAGAAAATAGTTAAATAAGTTTTTTCTGAATATATATTTCTGTCCTTGTAGTTTCTCAATAATTTCAATATAGAATGTTTTTTTATTATTAAATCATTTGTGTTATAGAGAGTTGAGTACATAATATTAAAATGATACTGAATAAATAAACCAGGAAGTATTGTAACAACCATATAAAGTAATGGTATCAGAATTACATTTTTATATTGTTTGGTCATAAGATATTGATATATTTTAGGAAGGGTATTCATATTTTTATAAACAGACATATCAGTCAAGTCACCAAATATGACACTTATGGATTGCTATGTCAACACTGTTGTAATGGGTACTGTGAAAACATCTTCCTTCTACAATAGATGCAGGGATGAGTGGTGTGCTTTGAACATGACAGTATTTTACAATGGAAACTTTACTGGTTACTGTCAAGATGCATGGACATGGCAACATGGACAAGCATCAAAATCACTTTAATAAAACCTACTCAACCTCTATATTACGTTGCAAAACATTTTTTAAACAAGCTATTAATGGTTTTGACAACTTTTTTTTTTCAGCAGTTCACTTAAACTGTCTAACACTAATTTTATATTTCTATAATGGTTTGGTAATTTAAAAACATATACTTTAAATAAAATATTATAAATTCTCACCATATTTAAAATCACACTTAAGGGCTGTTATACAGGTTTTACAATTAGCAAAATATTTAAATACTAACATTGGATACAAAGTATTTCTAAAATAAACATGTTAATAATATATTCTGTCATTCTCACATGCTAGTCTTGATTTAAATTCTAATTTATACTAAGTAAGCTTAGAAGTTGTTCATTTTCTTAGAACCATTTTAGGAAGTAGTTTTATTTATTTTTTTGTTTTATATTTTCTTTTTACTAATATACCAATGTTTTCATTATTAAGTGCATTTTATAATACTTGTACAAGTGTATTGTTTCAAACTACAAAATTATTTATAATCAAAACTAGTGTAAAATTGGTATAACATGTGTCATTAACACACTGGTTGCCACGTAATACATTAAGTATAAATAAAGTTAATCATTCAAGGGGTCCCGAGGAGCAGTCACAGTGTGCCAACTTATATGCCACAAGAGAAATTTGGCTTTGAAACAACTTTCTGTGACCCACCATCCATAACTAAAAGTCAGTTGTGACCCAACGGTGGGACACATGGCAGCAAATGTATTAATATGTTAATGCAGTGTTCTATGGAACTTTGATTTATGCTTTCCTTTAAGATACAGCTATGAAATATTCAATAATATAATTAGAAAAATGTTAGCCATTGTCACTCAAAATACATGTTTGTGAATGTCAACGTTAATGCACTAAAACTATATATATTTTTTTCATCATAACTTTTGTTTTTAAATGACTGAAGATAAATAGCACTGAGTTCATTCATGTAAGTACAAACTGAAATGTTTTATATTAAAAAAAAACAATGACTATAACATCCGCAAATTGAACATGTTTTATATAAATTACCAAACAAAATATTTAATGTGATTATGAGAAACAGGTTGGAGAACTCCAAAATATGTATGTAGACAACTGGACAAGTCTCAAATGTATGAGAAAAGATACATTCACAGTTGAAAAAATTCTATAAACTATTACAGGTTACGTTCCACATATAAATTATCAGATATTTATACAAACAAATCAGATATATTATTTATACCATGAAAAAACATTCTCCACAACATATATATATATAATAATATTGTTCACCTTTCTACCAATATTTGTTCCACATCATTGACAGTATTGTAAAAATTATTTATATATTTTAAACTCTCACATTTAATAGTTGTTGTATGTTACAGTATTTGACTTCCATATATAATATCTTCTAATCTTGGTTCATCTGCATTGTTAATATGCTTGTTAAAGTTCTATTTATTTTAGCAGAAAGCTTTATTTTGTGGCACAAATATCTCTATTCAAGACAACATACACACACACATTGATCTTGTTTTGTTAGTAATCATACTTACCTTTTCCAAAAGGACCATGAAGTGACTTCTGAAATTAGAAAACAGTATTTACATTTTCCTGTTCTGGTCATTCAAAAATACTACATCTGTTAAAAACCCACTCACAAAGTACATGTGTAATTACTTTACAAACCAAAACCTTTGATATATAAGTAGTAAATCAAAACTAGAATACCCAAGTAGCTCTCCTGGTATTTAAGAAAAAAAAAAACTGGCTAAAATGCTATATTGATTTATTGTTAAAAAAAATCTTTATAATATTGACACTTCATTGATAATACAAACAGAAATCAAATGTTTCTGGTTGCTAACTTGCGGCTACTCTAAAAAACAGTTCTACAAATAAATTGTTGACAAGAAAATACAGATTGCACATATTTGTATAAACCAATTTATGTTTTTGGTTATAAACTAACACTTGTACTTAATGGTTTTTGGTAAAGAATTAGTTAGAAAATCAGAAAAGTCAAGTGCTGGATGCTTTCAACCTTAATAAGCAGAAGTGTTTGCATTAAAAATATATATAAGACAATATAAGTGATACAAAATCAAGATTATAAAACACTACTTGCTTAACAATAATTCAGTTTGTCTTGACAATGAACAATTAGCTTTAAGTTTAAAAGCATTTTATAACTCAACTCTGAGATTAATATATTTTCATTGTAAGGTCACATCATTCATATACTTGTTCTGCAATGTAAATGTTTACTATATATGCTAGAAACAGTCTTAAAACTGCAAAATAAGGCTGTTTTATGGTCATTCTAACAATTTAATATATATAGTTAACTGGAAAATAAAACTATCATTACTATTGAAACTACATGTATACGTTTATTTCTCAACAAGAAAAACACATAAAATTGTTCTTTTAATGAGGAAAAATTATTACAAAGAAATTTCAGAAAATGATTTTGCTCTGGAACTTTATATATCCTATTTAAATATGTATCCACTGAATCTTTTCTTACTTCAGTTTCAAAAAACTATGAGGGCAGTGTGACAATACTGGGTGTTTCAAGAGTCACTTCTACTGTTCTGATGACTGACTGCATTAAGGAAAATGAGCATAAAACACATCATCCAAAATCATATGCAAGTTGTTTTGAACAACTTACTGTAATGAGTACATTGTCTTATGCTTTGTCAAATTGGTCTATATACCCACTTTCATAACACTGTATGCATGAGTTTCCTGAATGCAGTCATCTGAACACTAGAAGTGACTCTTGAATCACCCAATACTTGTTAAATTTATAGTTCAAGATTAAAACTTTTACATCTTAACATTTCAAAGTTGAGAAATTCTAGTATTTTACAGACATATTATGATTATTAAAATATCTTGATAAGAATCAATTTTAGCTCCAATAAATGAGCGATAGCCACAAATATGTATATGATAAAAAGATGCAATGTAATCAAATTATTTTTGTTTCTCATGCATGAGACTATTAATGTCCATAAACACTTGCTGGCAGGGTCAACTTAACTGACAAACAGAACGAATAAACTTCAACTAATGTTTATGACATTCTTTCAAACCTATCAAAAGTTCCTGTCGATTATACAAGAGATTCAGAGAAAAGAAATATAAAAAGTCAAGGAATGTCCACAACACTAGTAGCTTTACATAAATCTACTTACAAAGAGAAATATTAATCTGTAGTATTGAACATAAAAACTTTTACATATAATGAAGTAAAGGCAAAAGGTTGTAAAAATATTAAAATGCTGGAAACTGGTGACAGCATTAAAAATCAATAAAGTCTTCCTCCAATAAATGAGCATCTAAAGGAAATTCATTTACAATACGCACAGGTTTACTCAGGGTGCAACTAGTAGCTAATGAATTATTTTCTTTAGATTTTGGGATGTTACAGTAAATACAATCATATTCTTCATAGTCCCTTGAAGTCTGCATGTTTTTGCTTTTTTTGGCCATGCTCTGGCTTGTTGTAACTGTCCAATGATGATGTACTGGGTGAAGTAGATGCCACAGATATTGGTGCCACATGATATTCAAATGATAAGTTTGCCATGTCACTGTCAAAACTGTTAAAACAAGTTAAAGATAAGCAAAATGAATTAGGAAAAAAGTTTCATTTAATCATATTAAATTACAATGGAGTTGGTTTTCCTGCAAATATAAATGTCTAAGACAAATGAAACAAACATCATGTAATATAGAAAACAACTTAGTGTTTCTCAGTAAAATATCTTCACAAAATGAGAAATTCATACACAATATCACCTTTTCTTAAAAGTTTTCTGAAAATGTGATCTTCTAATCTTAAGTTAAATAAAAAATATCAATTTCTTGAAATGTTGCAGTATGGTCAAAAGCACATCATTTATACTCAATAATACTGAGTAAATAAAATTTCCCAAACTTCTGACCTTTCAAATATATCATTCTCTTCAATCAGTACATGATTAAAAACATCATTACATTTTGTAACATTCAACTAGTATTTTCTTTAACCCTCTGAGCACAGGTGAGTCAACCCTCTTGCTATGGGCCTGGCCAATTTGACAGAGTTTGTAACATAGTTACAAATTGACCGTAGTTTCCACACTATAACTTTTAATAGGTTTTGTGTATCTTTATGTATTTGACAAGTTTTTAATAAACATTAAAAGTCTTTTGCACACAAGAAGTCAGATTAAAAAACACAGAATAATAACATACACAAAACAAACAAGGTCTTATAACTCTCATAATTTATCTGGCTTTCTAATTATGCAATAAGAACTTGATGTGAATACCACAAGAGATTTTTAAAATGGAGGCAAAATAGACAATACTCTGTACATAAAACAACACAATATAATATGTCATTTGATAGATTAAAACTTTGGCTTTCTACTGGTTATAAATAATATAGTATAAAACATCAGAAAGAACTATTGGAATTTGTGAAAGAGAGGATGTGACAGTTTATGGCATTCTAAACAAATAAAATTGAGTGTTATAAAAATTATGCTTTGGCTTAGTAATATCTATCTTATTATGAGTATTTTGTGTTGAATTTTGTACTTCTCGGAGGGGCGATAAATATATTAAAGAGGAAAAATCTAGAGAACAAATATCACAATTCTCATAATACGGGAGATTGAGGATTTTTAAAAATATTTCCTTATAAAAATTAAGTACAAACTTAAAACTTAAATAATATTAAAATTTGATTTACTAACTACATTTTGATACCTAGTTTATTCATATACAATGATAAGGAACTGGCTTACTTAAATTTTGAATGTAACTTGCATTTCTATCTCTTTTATTAACAAATTTTAAACATTAACTAATGAAGAAATAGGCTAGAAGTTAATTATTTTTGAAGTGTTTATGCTAAAAATAGATTTAGAAAAATTCTGAAATTTACATGTTCTTGATTCACTCAACAATTGTATTATTTTAGATTTCTAGCAGACAAGTCTTTAGCTATTTTACACTAACAATATCATTCCAACAAGAGTCACATGTGACACGTGTTTATCTAAAGACAAAGGTACTTAGCTGAAAGCCTGTTACATTAATGATCAGTATTGCCAAGTTTGTATATTTGTTTATTTTATGAATCATATGTTCTTGAAACAATTTTACATGAAACTGAAATAAACACAATGGTATAGCTTTTTGTTGACAAAAAGAGGATGTGGAAGAAATAAGATTAGACCTTCATGAACTTTTTCAGGACATCTTGTTAAACACTAGTGATTTTCCACTATTGACTTTTTTTATACACAATTCCATGATTTCAAAAGTTTCATGACTGTGACTAGTAAACATTTATTACCCCTAAAAGTTAATATTTTTTAACACTGAAAATGTATTTCTGATAGGTGCTAATCTGTACTCACACAAAGCTATCTCGACCTTCATTTGACCTTTAAGCATTGCTAAAATTTTCAACAATGCAAGACTTTTATACCCCCCTTCATTTTTTTTTCCACCATTGCAGCAACATGTGCTGATGATGTGATACCCTCCACCAATAATACTGTACCACCTATACTAGGGCAGGTAGCTCCCTCTACCATTGCAGCACAATCCTCAATTTCGAGAATTGGCAGATAAAAACCAGAAACACCGGCAAATTATTGGGGAGAAAGGGCGGAAAGTGGATGAGGGGCGGTAAGTATCTATCACAAATACATTTTCAGTGTTAGAAAATGTTAACTTCCGAAATGGTACTACCTCCACTCACTCAAAACTAGAATCCCACATTACAAAGGTGGAGGGGCTAGTGAAGGTGCAAAAGTAAACAAACAAGTAGAGAACAACCACCAGGAAAGAACACTTGTGCCACAATTATAAAAGGAGGCACACCTGTGGAGTATAGCACTACTTCTGGAACAGGTATGCTATTTGCCCAGTAAAGAACAAAGTAAGACACATAGGACAGAACTTAATAGACAGGCAAGATGTCATATAATAGAGATACCGCCTGTGTACAACAGATAGTACGTAAGATGTCCACATACATAACAAGTGTGATTAGATTTGAAGAGGGTGCCCGTAATCAGATATAAGAATACATAACTAGAGCTAAAGGATCATAAAGGTATATGAATAAGCCATGTGCAGTCTGCCCGGACAAAAAACATCCAGGTGAAGCACCTTGCATTATAGTTTTCTTTCATATTTTTTATATAACAGATTGTATGATCAACAAGTGCGGTCAGTCCGGGCATAAACATCTGGAGGGAAATGCCTTGTCATATTATGGAGTATGTCAAGTGCAGTCCATCCGGGCAGAAAACATCCAGTGGAAGTGCCTTGCATAAAATTGTTTGTTTCATATCTTGTGCATAAGTTACTTAGAGATCAATAAGTGTGGTTCATACAGACAAAAACATCCGAGGAAGTGCCTTGTGATGTTATTGAATATGTCAAGTGCGGTCCATCTGGCCAGAAAAGATCCAGTGGAAATGCCTTGCATAAACAAATATTTTGTTAACAACATGTGAAGTCAGCCCGGGTAAAAACATCCAGGAGAAGCACCTTGTATTTTATTGAGTATAGGAAGTGTGGTCCATCCAGGCAGAAAACATCCAGTGGAAGCACCTTACATAAAATTTTTATTTTATGATCAACAAGCGCAGTCTACCCAGACAAAAAACATCTGGGAGAAGTGCCTTGGATTTATCATATTATGATATTTTATAATATTAAATATAAGGACAATAGCCTTCTTCTCACAGAGTGGGTAAAAACGACTATGAAGTTTGTTTTATCATACAAAACCCACTCCAAAGGAAACCTCCATGGTCCATCACTCCAGCAACTGGGAACCAGAAGTGGCAGGGACTCCCATGCTCCACTAGAAGAAAGGGAGATGGATACACATTGGGGAGTCTGGAGGAACGACACACTGGAGACAGTGCAATGGGTGTCTCCAATTCCATATTTTGAAAAGCAGAAAGACCCTGATTGTAAGAATCATGGGTCAGTAGGGATGGGCAAAAACCACATCTGCTTTACTCATGAAGTCCATGTGTGATGGTATTTTATATATGATACACTGATAAAACAAAATATAGATAGAGATATATACATTCCCTTGGATAAGCAGCCAGTGGTCTTACAAAAACACCTCATCACCACAGTGAACATTATGGAAGTATATAGATTTAGTGCCAAGATATAATATTCAGCATACCTGACCAGGGAACACTTGCCACCAGGTGAGATACTGAAATATGATGTATTACAGATTATTTTAAAAAAAGAATAATAATAATAATAGGCAAAAGCAAACAGATGTGTGTAGAATCACCACAGGAAGAAGATGATCTCCTCCAAAAGGTTGCAAGAAGCTAAAGACATAGATGACATAGATTTGGTGTGAAGAAACATGATGTAGACAGCAATTGTCCATAGACACATTAGAATAAACCAGTCATATGAGTTGACAAACTCAACCAGTGAGCAGAATAGGTGAAAGATCACAGGAAACACAGGAATTCTATGGAACAAAGAGACAGGAACAAGAACCAAAAAGGAGGCACTATTATTTGGATCTGAATGGGAGAACAGGTGGGAAAGGAAAGGAAATAGGAGAAAAGGTGCAACAACCTTCTCGGACAGCCGATGTCCTGGGAAGGAAAGCCTGATCCAGATAGAGGATAACATACGAGGAATGGTAAAGGATGTGCGGGAAACATCAATGGCATAAATATCAGAGGGTAGTCACATGATCAATACATGTTGCTGGAATGGCATAAAAAATGAAGGGGGTATAAAAGACTGGTGTGTGTTGAAAATTTTAGCAATGCTTAGAGGGCAAATCAAAGTTGAGATAGCTTTGGGTGAGTAGATGTAGTATCATTTTGGAAATTTCTTTGCTTTTCCAGCGTGCATTGCAAATTAAAATGATGCAAAATCATTATTTGTAAAATATATACCTATGGTAGTGTTTTAATATTTTAGTCTGGTAGACATATAAATCAAATATTTTATTTTAAACAAGTTTTTTTAATCTTTTTCCACATGGGCTTGGTGGAATCAACCGAGGTTGTAACCATTTTGTACTTGTTAGTTTCCATACTATAACTTTTAATAGAGTACATTTATCTTCACAAAGTTTGGCACTTTCAGTAAACATTACGAGACTTTTGTACACAAAAAATTATATTTTTTAATTAAGTATTTTAAATAAAGACTTATTTATGAATATAGAGTAGTTGTACTAGTGCAAGCGCAAAATGACTTTCATATTAAGATTAAAAATACTTTTATTCATCTGAAAATTTTAAAGTTTCATTTGTGTGAGCTCTCAAACCTCCTATATAATTATAAAATGTTATTTTTCTGTAAAACTTGATATTTTATGTTATTTTTTTCTACCCTAACTCTATATATACGAGGATGGTTGATTTGACCTACCTCGTAAACACCAAAAAATTTAAATAAGTCTAAATTACCCCTTTCTTTCTAGAATGATTTCAAACTGTAACATAAAAATACATTTGTTTCTCCTAAATAGATTTAAACTTGCAACAGTATACATCTGTTTATATTTAAATTCATTGTTATACTGCCCTTTGAACCATGTCTAAATTAATTTTCCCATGTTACCATATCGAATTACATAACACATGGTCTACTCATAAGCATACCTCATGAAAAATGTTTATTATTATTCTCTATTTTATATAATCTAACCTAAAAAGTTTCAAATTTTTACACAATAGAGAATACACATGAAAAACAAGAAATAAAATACTTACCTGGGTCTTTTTTTTTTGCTATCATCTGTTGATGAAGAATTAACCCTACTATTTTTTATACTGATGGTACTACTACACTAAATTTTTTATTTAATTGAATAATGGACCAAATAATACAGAATAATAATGTGCAAAAAAGCAGATAATATCCCATAACTATCACAATGTTTCTGGCTTTCTAACTATGTGACAAGAGCCATTAAAATTCAGCTAATCTCGTTGATGTGTTTCCTGTGGGAATAAATTTTGAATTAAAAGCAAAAAGGAAAATTCTCTACAGAAAAAAATGTAAAGTATTAAAAATCAAAGAGGATGTAACAAGTGGGCATGGATGACTCTGTAGCCAAATAAGACTGAAGGCTATAAAAATCATGCTTTGCCTTAGTGATGACAACATTATAATGAGTAATTTTCATGTACTTCTTGGAGATGTGGTAAATAAATTAGAGCAAAGGAAATTGAGGAATTTTGTATATGTTGCCTTATAAAATTAATTTAAATCCTATATAATGTTAAAATTTGGATTATTAGCTATATTTTTATGCCAAGTTTATTTATATACTATGTTAAGAAAGTAGTTTAATTAAATTTTGAATGTAACTTACTAAAACCTTCTGACATGCACATAAATTGATGCCCATTTTAAAAGAGTTAACATGTTTTATAAATCACAATTCCAAATTACCAAAATGAGTTAAATTACAAACCCACTTTTGCAGCAATCATAATTTATACCAGAGCCAATACTGAACCATACCTTTCCATAGTATCTTCTTCGCCAGCTGGTGGATCCCACAAGTGCAGTTGTTTACGCCAAAGTTGAATTAGTGTATCCCAGCCTCGACGACTATATTTGAAATGTTTATTTGGTGTCCGAGGATGATCTTTTGTCCGAGTTCCCCTAAAAATATATTTGTTGAATTTATAAATACTAAAAATCCGTCCTTTCTTTTACTAATAAACTTATGAAAAGTGAATTTCAACATTACCAAGACATTTTATACAAAGCAAAGCATAATATGATATCTGACAATGAATATATTTCTGTTCTACATAAGACTCACTTGGGAACAGCATCTATGTATCTCTGGTAACCCAATGTGTTTTTCCCATAATCAATCTGTTTCTGCCGTCTCTGCAACACTTCTTTATCTTTCTCAATCTCCATTTTCTTTCTAAAAGATTTTTTTTTAAAGTTTCAAAAATGGATAGAAACAAAACTATATCATTAAGAATCTAGTTCCACATAAAAATTACTTTATGATCAGATGTCTTTTTCAAGACATCAACATGAAAACTGGATTTAAATCATTATTTGGCATACAAGATATTTTTTACTACAGTGCAGTCTTCAAATAAGTGAAATACACTGCAAAAACAATGAAAGAATATATTAAAAGTTGTTACATTGCAGCTTATGTCAAAGCTAAACCAGAATTATAAAATAATATCAATCGCTCAATGATGAGAATTCATTACATTGTAACTTATGGAATGGCAAAACCAGTTATACATTAATGTCAACCACCCAATGATTAGAAGCTGTTATGCAGTAGCTTATAACAAAGCCAGCATTACAAAGCCAATCACTCAATGATCAGAAGTTTTTAAATTATAGCTTATAGCAAGAAAAGATACAGTTATAAAATAATGTCAATCACCCTTTCATTTTATTGTTATGCAAATTATATATAGTTGACCTTGCTTAAATTGGCACTTTGAAGTGAGCTGCAAAGTTCAGAAGTTCTCCAAGGTGTTCATGAACAATAAACAGATCTAAAAAAAAGTGCATTTAAAAGTTTAATTTGTATGGAGAGTCACTCAACAAATGGAAGCTGGCAAATAACTACAGGCTCTTGCACACTGGCTAAAAGTGTCATCTGTAGAGTACAAAACTTCTTCTCAATGAAAGGTACAGTTACTTGGACACCTGGACAAAGCAAGACTCACCCTTAGCACTACCAGAAGACCATTATCTGTTCATTCTGACTCCCCACAAGTGTTGGGTGCTTCCTCTGAGTTTGAATCAACTATTCTATATAGTAACTACACAGCAGTAGTTTGAAGATGGTTGAAAATAGATTTCATTTGCCCAGTCTGTATGCCAATTGCCCAACAGAGTGCATTTCACTCACAACACAGTTCTTCTGTAATGGTGCAAAAACACATGAAGTGGACCAACAAAATGTGGGGCAATATAATTTTACACAGTGTATCTTATAACCACATAGCATTCATATACTTATCTGGAGAGAATCTTGAACCAAATTTCTTACAAGTACAAGAGCCCACAGTGAAAAACCATCTTGCAAGCCATTAGTGACATATGTTACACAAACTCTACAGACCTTTGTGCTGTTATATACTAATAATACCCAACCATACTAAGATAAACCATTTGACACACTTCTTGAAAAGGAGGAGATTAACCAAACAGTAGTCTACATGTTAATTAGTCATGTGCTTACTCTTGCAACTCAGGAAACAATTAAAGACATTAAAGATACCTCATGAACTTATCAACATTCTGATTTTAAGATGCAGCATGAATACCAAGTTTGTCAAGTTTTATGGATGGATGTATGGACCAAATTCTTTACAATAGATGTCTGTGACTTGATAATGATAAATTTCAACAATAAACAAGCAGCACACAGTCCACTTGTTTTAAAATAATATATTAAAACATGTCAAATATATATGTATAAAAATGTTCATTACCCAGTTAATTACCACATTTGTATCCAGAGCTTTACATAATTGATAAGACAAATTATTTCTTCTCTACTCTGTTATTACAATATAATCTGTGATAATTTCACTTTAAAAGTCACCACTATACACTCTTTATGGCTAAACTCACAATTACATAGTCTAGATCTCTCCATCTATCTATCTTTGTCTTTACACGTATTTATAGTCTGACCAAAGCCTAGAACATTCCACACACTACAAGATATTATGATGCAATAATACTCCATTAAAACAAGAGAAAACGTAGAAGATTTTAGTAATATGATGCATTAATATAACAATCAACAATTCACAACAAGTGAACTGCACAACATATGATTCACACAATTATGTAAACAATCCTGTGATAAACTTATGCTTCTAAACATAACTAAATTTAACACTTGTGCTATACTTAAGCCATCTAAATCATAACACTTGCATTAACTTAGTCAGTTCTGTACATCTAATACTCTAGCTATTTCTAGTGACCATACTCCAAATTGAAATGCAAGAACTGTCACCCTTACCAAGAAATAAGGCTGAATGTCCAACCTTTCCAGATCCCATGATAGATTAATATTTTATAACTTTGGTTTTGTCCTTTCATAGCAAAAGCAGCATGAGTTCCAATTGTTCATTAATTGTTTTGTGCAGTATAATTTTTGAAAGATGCAATTTCAACTACAAATTTAAAAAGCAAATTAAGAACTTTTTTAGAATATGGAATTTGTTAACTACAGTAGAAATTCTGGATTAAGTTCTGAAAAGAAAGGCTGAAATCATTGTGATGTACACTTTTTATCAGGTTTATACCAATCAAAATAAAACCAGAATTTTATTATACCACAATATATTGATGATGAGTTACTTTTCAAAAGCAGTGCTTGATATTTTCCTTTTAGACAGCACAATTTTAAAATTAAGAAACTTTATTCACCATTTTTAATTTTTGGTTTAAATCTTTTAAAATACATACCTTTTCTCACAGTCCCGGCTATTACATCTCTTGATGGAGTGTTTACTAAAAATAAATCAATTTCTCACAGTAAAATAATTTCACCTTTACTTATTGGAAAATCAGTAATTTATAACAAGTTAGTTTAATGACAAATTGAACAAAAATGAAGAAAATGAAAACTGTATAAAGCATGACTAACAAGCAATGAGGTCTCACTCATGACCATTTTAGAGTGAAAAGTATTCTTAGAGCTTAGGTTGAGGTGTATATTTATTTAAAACATACAGGATGCATTTATTCTTTTGCAAGTTCCAGTACTTTGATATTGTTGTCAGCTACTTCTAAATCCTATACTTTTAAGCTAATTTGTTAAAATTATACAACTTACCTTTATCAAAATTTACAAATACAAAATTTTCCATTCTTGGAGATTTTTTTTCTCTTCAAGAAGGAACATGCATCAGTTACAACATCATGCCTTCAAAATACAACTTGATTTTCAAACAAAATTAGAATTCTGATAGCTTAGTGTTTTGGGAATATGGTTTGCAACAGATCTAACTTTTTTGTTTTTAAATATACACCAACTTTCTCACTACAGGCTTGGATAAAAAGGCTGAGTTCTTGACCCTAAATTGACCTTTATAGTTTCCATGCTATAACTTTTATTATTTTTTGTGTATTTTCATGAAATTTAGCAAGCTTTCAGTAATAATTAAGTCTTTTGCAGACAGAAACATAGGAATTTTCAATGAGGTATTTTCACTAAAAATTTCTCCATGAACATATAGAGTCCAAGTGTTGATTGATCCAAATGCAAAATGATTTTTCTATTAAGATTAAAAATATTTTTCTTCATTTGAAAAATCTCAACTTTCATTTGCTAAGTCTCTAAAACCTCCTCAATAAATTTCAAATGTTATAATTTTCGCATACTGAAAATGTATTTCTGATTGGTACTCACCACCTCTCACATAAATAGCTATTCTCGTTCAGTGCTGCCCACTATACGCTAAACAATTTTTAAGCATGCCACAAGCCTTTTGTCTCCCCTCCATTGGAATTGACTGATTCCAATGCATCTCTCATGCAAATCATCATGTATCAAAACTCCACCAATAAGAATGTGTCATCCTTTCATGATATATGTGACTCCCTCTATTCACTTTGAGTTTTGACAGATGGAAACACTGGTTTTGAGTGGTGAGGAAGGGTGAGAACTGGTAAGTACCTATCGGAAAAACATTTTTGATATAGAAAAATTATAACTTGCAATTCGAAATGGATAATAGCAAGGAAATCCAATGACAGGTCTCCCCCACCTGCAGCCTGTCAAAATAGTGCTAGAAGTATAACATCTGAAATGGGAACATGAACCTCAGAATTCATTGTAGAAATACATAAATCAAACAAAAGTGTTTGATGTAAAATATGAGTATGAGAAAAAAAAAATAGCGACTGGGAATTTAAGTTAAATTAAAAGATTTCTTTGATGTAAAGAAAAAAAAGAATGAAGAAGTCCCACTTTGAAAATTAAACTATTAAAATCACAAATAGGATTCACACGAAGAGCATCAAAAGAAAAAATCATCTGAACATGAGTACTGCCAAACAAAAAGTGATAGTTCAACAGAAGTGAACAGAGGGAGTCGCATGTGTCATGAGAGCATGTCACACTCCTATTGGTGGAGGGGTGACGCATGATGATTTGCATGAGACACACACTGGAATCAATCAATTCCAATGGAGAGGAGATAAAAGGCTTGTGGCATGCACTTAACAAGAATAGTTATTTATGTTAGTGGAGGTATTGTACCGTATCAGAAATTGTTTTCAGCAAAACTTTATATTTTTTCTAGCCTAACTCTATACAAGGTTGAACAACCTCTTATCCACCAAAAAAGAAAAATCTAATTAAATCTAAATTACTCTTTTCTTTCTATAATGACTTCAACTTGTGACATGAAACTACATTTCTTTATCCTAAATAGCTATAAACTTGTAACAATATACATCTGTTTATATTTAAATTTTATTGTTTTATTGCTCTTTGAACCATGTCTACATAATATTCCCACCACAAGTTGTAAATCACTTGGCAAACGTGTAGCTCTCTTTACCCTATTGAATTACATAATGCACAGGCTACTCCCGAGTTGCTTGCAAGCATACCTCATGAAAACATTTCATTATTATTATTCTATATTTTATCTAACCTAGCCTAAAAATTTCTAATTTTACATCATAGTTACTTTTATAATAATAAATAAAAATACACATGAAAAATAAGAAGTACAGTACTTATCTGGGTCTTTTTTTTGCTGTCAACTGTCGATGAAACTTAACCCTTTTTTTTATACCAATGATACTACTGCACTAAATAATTTTTTATTTAATTAAATAA